TGCCTTAAACATAAGAGCATGGTATTTTAAAGTCGCTGCTATTGTATGTATTGCATTGTGAAATATTACAGCAAAGCACTCAAGTGCCAAGTGTTTCAGCAAGGCTTTAAATATCTTGAAGGGAATTTTTTAAACTATGGTTGTGCTTTATTGAGGAAGCACCTGTTACCCACTCTTTACACATAGGGCAGCAAGCACAAAAATTATGCCTTTTGCACTATTTGCAGAGCACTCGGGGAATAAAGCACTTAACTTGATTCCTGCAAGCCTTAATCATGTGCTGTAACTTCTGTTCAGACTTCCTTGTGGGGCATGTAGAAGATTATATGTGATCCTTAAAGACAGGTTTCAGGGTGATGAATAACTGAGTGTATCAAAACAGGAAAGTCCCAGATAAATGAGGTAGGAAGAATGTGACAATTTTTGTATAGTGTTGTAATATGCTGCTTTTAATGTTTTCAGTGGATCTTTTCAATGTAGCCTTGAATGTGGTGTAGTGGTTCAGATCCGTTGCTCTGTCCCTCTGAGATTCAGTGAAGCTTGAGAGAGTAAGGCATAAGGCTCCTCATGGCTAAATCACAGCAGAGCAAGAGGAGGCTGCATTCTGACCTGGTCCTCAGGCCTGGAGAAACCTTTCTATTTAATTTCCTGATGCTAAACCTGGGCTGTATGTGGGAAAAATCCAAATTTGGTGGCAGTCTGCTTTACCTGGAATAGATATCCAGGCTGGAAGATGTATCCAAGGTGGGTCAGACTGTCAATGGCACAAAATCAGAGCAGTAGATGTAGGTGAGTCTAGGTGTCCTTGCATTTGGCATGCAGCAGTGTTCTCATGTATTCTGGAAGGTTATCAGTAGTCATCAGTGTTCTCATGTATTCTAGAAAGTTATCAGTAGTCATATGTCTGTCTTTCTGGTTTCTCAAGACTTGTCTCCTACCCAATATTATCTTTTCAAGCTGAATGAGTAAAATGGTTGATTCTCAGCACAGTGCTTTTCTACACATAAGAGATTATTTAATAATTGTGACAACTTTGTAGTGTTTTATCCTGGCCAGTAGTCTAAGGAGATGCATTGTGTTGTGTTCCCAAATCAAATTTGTAACAATTGTTGAACTGTTGAGATGTTTTTCTCTTACTGTGTTTCTGGAACCGATTTGACTACTTTCCCTTCCCCTTCTCTTTCTACGAGGACATCTCAGAGAGCGCTCTGCCCTGCATGCTACCAGTTGTCTTCTGTTTACCTACTTACGCTCCCCATGTTCCCACATTTTGGGAAGAGATTTGTGTGAGATTATTTTAATGTAGAGACTAAAAGTCATTTATGAGATAGACCAGTAAGAATCTTGGGCAGCTTTTCTACATGAGACTCTCATGCTAAAAACCAAAAGCCCAAATGTAAAATTCCCTAAGCTGCTTGATTAAGTTGATTCATTTTCTCTGTATCTTCAATTTCAAAGCCATTTAGGAAGATCATTTGCATAAACATAAAAGTTCTCTTTAACTAAAGTCAATCAGTGTGTTTTTTCAATGAACTAGAGCTCATAAAAAAGATTCAAACATTAACTGTGTAAAGAAGGCAATTAGTGTTTGTACAATATATTGAAAATTAGCCCAAGGCATGCTGGAAAAATACATGTTTTACGCATGTATATTTTTCATCCAATTCCATAGTTTATATTAGATATGGACATAGATACTTCTAAAGGCTACTGAATAATTCCAACTGAGAAAGAGGTTGTGATTGTCTATAAAAAGTTTTTTTTAAACTATAATGTAGTTGGTCTTACTCTGTATATTTAATCATTCAAATGGACAGCCTTTTCTACTGCTATAGTAGGGCAAGGAAGCTTATCTGCATATAAACATCAAAATGAGACCTCTTTTGTGTTACAAAGCTTTAACTTTTGTAGTTGAAAAGTTGAGCATTTCTAAAAATGTACTAATTATGTCATTCTGATAAAAGGAGATACCCCTCTCACTTTGTCACGGAGTGATACTTTCCATAGGTTTTAAAGCTGCCATAGGAGTAGGAAAAAAGCTGTCATAGTTATAGGAATCAGTGGAAAATTTTTATTTTAAATAACTGCTGGGGAGGGGGGGCAATTACAGGGAGCAACTGCCACGTTACCTCTCTTGGAGATTGTGCATCTATTATCGTGTTTTCCCCACAGTTTGGTAGGAATTAAGGTCAAGAGAAGAACTATTTTCCTGAAGGGAGAGAAATGGGAATTGATGTGACTGTGGATAGAGTACCAGTTAAAAACTTGGGAGCATTTTCTGAAAATATGAGTACACCCATAGTCTATTAAGGAAAATACTACTTTTTTTACCATACTCATTTAGCATTTGATTCTAATAGGACAGAGCACAAACCAAAACAAATAGTTTATGAGACTCTGGTGCTATAATGGGTACAAACATACTTTCTGCAGTTGATTATGTTAAAGCATTTGTTGTTTATATGAATTATTATGGTGTATATAGAGCGAAACCTTTCAGGAAGACTAGCTGAAACTTTTGTTTGTTTCTACAAGAGAATTCACTAGAGTGAAAGTCAGTGTGGAATCTTAGATGCAGGACTATAATGTCTTGCCTTAACATGTAGAAGAGAGCATATGGTTTTGGTAATAGGCTAATAAGAGCAATTAACCTTATAGTGCACTCATTTGTTGGTCTCAGTTGTTTATAAACTAGGTAGTAAAGATATTTTAACATCCTATGGCTTTATAGGAGATTAGTGAAATCAGGCTGTATTTTTCAAATTAATGCCAAACAGTACTCAGGTGATAGCATGATAGAAACATAAAATTAGCAGAGAATTAAATATTCAGAGTACTATGTGGTGTGTCTAACCAATTAATATAATCACAAATGTATAAATACATAGTATGGTTTAAAGAAATAAAAACATGTGTTAAAGGTTTCCATTAGAAGAGGGACTGTTCTCACAGGATGTGGTCACAGATCTGTCATTCAGCTTGTTCTTGCCACCTTGCAAAGATTATAATGTAAACTGTTTCCAGGCTTATTTAACGTAAAAAAGAATTTTAAACTTACCTTCGTCTTTGTGCTGTACAAATAAACAGCATTTTGTACAACAACTCCCATGTAACTGTTCAGAAGGATGAACCTCATAAAAGAATGAGTTTCTTTTAACAGAAACCACCATTATTGTCATCTTTTTTTTATTATTATTTTTGATCGACTTTGGTTTCTAGGTTGGTGGTGATGGAAGAAGGATGGTTTCCCCATAATAATATTCTTTTATTTGATTCTGTAACTTCTAGCAGTCAGCTTTTGAGCTCCTGCTTTTGCACAGTATTTGTTTTGCAAACTTTTCCCTATTTATTGACAATGTCCCCAAAGAGACCTCTAAATCAGTTCATATGTGGATTTAATTTGAGCATGTAAAATATGATGTATTGTAGTTAATAGTGTTTTGTCTGTCCTTCCTGGCTTACTGTTATTTGTCCGATTTTTACCTTATATTTTTGTTACAGACATCTTTATTCAGTTTAGCTAGTGATGACCCTAATGAGTTGTTGCTGCTTTTTCTTAATCCTGAATTTGAAAGTTAAGATGGTATTTTTTGACTTTGGGTTTTCTGCAGAGGCTTCCATGAAACCCTTCTGTACAAATTTGTGGTCTTGTTTTTTTCTGTTTCATTGAATTGACTGAACAATGTATTTGCTGGTGCAGCGTTCATCGAATATGAGGACTCTTTTGCTTTATTAGACTTGACAGTGTTTAAACAATACTAATTCTCTTACCCAGCTGGCTTTTCAATTGATTTCTGTGCTCTCTGTTGCTGTGTAAAACAAGCTGGAACATTAAAGACATCTTGCATGCTACCCTCTGGAGACTTGTTTTTCTTTAGAGAAAAATCAAATAAGTGTAAAGTTTTCTGTTTTTTTTTTTTTTTCCTCATATATTTTCTTCTGGATCTTTAAATGATATTTCAGTGTACTGACAAATTTTGTAAATGTTAAGATGTTAATTTTCAAGCACATACTTTTAAAAAGCAGTGTTCATTTTATAGTGAGATTTGCTAGTTTGCTCACTTGTTTATAGAAAGAAATGTCTCTCTCTTCATCTAAACCAGAATGTAGCAGCTTTGAAATCATATTCAAAATGTACATAAATGTGCACTTCTAACCCAGCTAAAATTTTGCATATTTAAAATATGTTTGATAAACAGTCAAAGAACATTTGCAGATGTTAATAATTTGTTTTACCTGCGCACTTTTAACAGTATTGAAGCAGCCTGAAGTTTTGAGCTAAATATTGAAGTAGGAATTCCTGAGGAGAGTGATACAGGCAAAATATTTTTCTGTCCTGTAAATGTCAATATTTATGTCATACCTTTAGACAAATCCAAGACTTAAAACATATACTCGGAAAAATGAATTTTCTCTACTCTAGAACAGTCATCTGTGACGGGCTTCAGCCACTGTTGAGGTGATCGTTACAGCACGAGTCTCTCCTTCCAGTCCTTTAGAGGTTGCTTAATTGCATACGAATTTCAGCTTATTGTGAAATATCAACTTTCTGAAACCCAAACTCGATTCCCAATCCACTCCACCTCCCCACATACTCAGGTAGCCCTGCAGCTCAGGTAAGGATTTGAAGTACTCAGTTGTCATGAGTCAAATGAGGGCAATGATTTTTCATAAAGAACTGCTCAAAGCTGAGGAGTGGGACTTCATTTTTATCTTGAAGGAATCAGTGGTTTCTGATGAAAATTTATAACATTCTTGGCCATGATGTCTTCTTATAATCTTTTCATTTTTTGCATGGAAGCCAGGTAGCTGTCCCTTGTGTTCTTTTTTGCCACTTATACAAAATGTGTGCTGGTATCTGTTTTACACAATGTCATGAAACTCCATGTCATGCATACAAAGTCACTTGGAGTCATTGTAAGAAATAAATATTTTATGAATAATGAATATTTTGATCACACAGTATTTCATTTAGGCATTTTTTTTTTAATTTACTACAGCTGGTCTGAAAACCCAGAAGAATGGAAGTTTCAAAAAACAAGACAAACCTGGCTTCTCTTGCACATGTATGATAAAGAGAAGGTTTGTATTAAAGCTACTTTTTCTCAGAACAAATATTATATAAAGTTTTATGCAATAATTGTAGCTAGTTTTTATTAATCAAAAGCTGCTAGTACTAGTCATGCACTTTTCTAATAATTTTTAAATACTTTATAAATAAATTACTTTGTTTTTAAACAAAATGTTGAATCATTTTAATTGCTTGTAATCAATCTTTTTATTTTGTTGATGATCATTCTCCTGTGATGCTAGATTTGTATGCTTTGATATATGTCAAGCATAAATAGAGCAGATTCATGTTTTATATAAATCTGGAGCTAACTGAGAATTTGAGTCATACACTTAATTTGAATTTCTGAATGTGGAACCCAATACTGTAAACCACGATTCTCTTATTGCCTCAGATATCTCTGGCTCCATATAAGATGTACAGACATATTGCCAAGATGTTAAAATAGCTTTCTCATTAAAATATAACTGAAACCTGATGTTGATTGTAAAAAGCTTAAAGTATAATCAGAAGCTAGGCTTGCATCATTACTGAAATCCATTCATTTCATAATTTAAAAAACAACATAGATTGAGTTTCCAATAAGTGTCTGACTATCGTGGTATTGAATGGGGGCTTCAGGTCATTCATTTTGTTGTATAATAGAACAAACATCTAGCCATTTGCACAGTGCCTTAGTTACTGATTCATTTAGTCAGTTTTTGCTGATTTTTTTTTTGTGTACTTAAGCATTTAAGCATACCAATCTTCCTGACCCAAATTACTCAGCAGCTCTTAAGCCAATCACCTGACATAGGGTGTTACCTTTATGATTAAAAATACTTTTAGAGAACCAGATAATTAAAAGCAGAGTTTCATGAAGGCAAAAATGTTCACACAGTGTAATACTTTAAAAGGATTAGTTGCAGAATACAAATTTCATTGTAGGTGGCTAGGTTGTTTGTGCCATCTTCTATTTTTAAGTTTCTCCCATGAAAGTCTTTGTCAACCTTTCAAAATCAAAGTATGCTCTCTAAAGCTACCTAGAAATTGTTTTACAGATAGAATGATGTTTTTACTTTTTTACCTGTTTACTTTGGGTTTTGTGTTGAAATATACTGGAAAATAATTAACTGTAAGTAGCGTTTCTGTTATGTATCAAAACACAGCTCCTTATTTCCCAATACTGAAATGAAGCTTCCTTTCTGTTTTTTTGTTTTGTCTTAAATCTGATTAAAGTGCTATGGTTTATTTAAATTCACATATTTTGTAGTTTAATAATCAGAGATGCATTGAATATGAGCTTTAGATAATGATTAACATCTTCATCCAGATTCAGTAAAGTCAGTGGAACCGCTCAAGTGCTTATAATTAAGCATATGAGGAAGTCTTTTTCTTCATCAGGACTGTAGGGAGGGCAGACCAGCTTCTTTTGAATATTTTTTATACCCAAACTCAACTTCCTGTACATTACAGAATAAAATCTGTTGGATATCCAACCATGACTAAAATACAAAAGGAGACATGAATTTCTTTCCTTCCTAAGCCACATCTTTGATCTCATGGTGTCGCTTCGATGCCTACTGAAAAGCCACACAAAGGAGCAAACTGAGTTTCCTGTACTGATAGGCCTCTTTCTGTAAGAAGTAAGTTGAAGTTTTAAAGTCCTTTACAACATGAGGGGTTTTTTAAATCCCTTTAAAATCCGTCTGGTGGTTGGCTGACATCTTCCAAGCCCAGCCTGTATACCTACAGTGTATATACTTCTTCAGGATCCAGTATAAAATAAACACTAGATCATTTGTTGATCTTTGTCATCTGGCACAGCATTTATAGAAAGTAACTATATCGCTGTCTTCAACTTCTGGACTGCAAGGCCCAGGTTCTCAGAAGGTAACTGAGAAAAGCAAGCTTGGCAGCAATAAGCTGAAGTTCTCTGTGCAGATATCTGTATTTTCTTTGCAAAATATGTGGGCATCTGCAAGTCTAAAAAGTCAGAAAACTCTTGAGTTGCACAGTATAATTTACAAGTGGTAACTGTTCTCTTCCTGTACTATTTGGTAGTGTTTCCTCCCTTTTCCCAATGATGATAATTATTTTGCTTTGGGATATTCCCATATAAGTCAGCTCCAGTGCATGTTAGCTAGTTAGAACAGAGGCAAGTGTGTGAGAGAGAAAAAGAAACAAGAAAAAGGTTAAAACAGTTGTAACAAAAGAATAATAGTAAAATCCCATAAGCATCACTTCCACTTGCCAGGGCCGTGGTGGGAGATCTTGATATCCAATTTCAAGCCAGCCCAAAAGCTGATCTTAGAAGGATTGTGTTCCTTCTTGTAAAACCTTGCCAAGAGTCCCTGAAATTTCAGCTCCTGTACTACTGTTTTTGAAGAATTAAAATTTGGTTTTCATTTTTTTGCTGGCACTTTCTACATTCCAGTCCTTGCTATGGCTCTATTGTATAAGTTAGGAGAAAATATAATATTATTTTGCCTACATGGTACTGTATTGTAAGCTCTTGTTGAAATAAGCCTAACCATGTTAAAATAAAAAAATCAGAATTTTGAACACTTGAGCACTTATCCTCAGGGCCAAATGCTATATGCTTTCTAGGCTTCAGGCAGCCACATGTCTGTCTGCACATTTAATATTTCTAAGTTTAGGGTGCGCTTTTAATTGCCCCTTCAAGCACTTTGCTTAAACGATATAATAATAACTGTAATTCCACAGAGTGAGGTATGCTATACCACAAGGTCTGAGAACAAGAGGTGTAAATTATGTAGATAATTTGATAAGGTTTGAAACCTATAAATATTTCTGAGCTTTAAAAACCCAGTACTGAGCATCTGCATTAAAGGAGCACTATCATGCTGAAATTGTTTGTCCAAATGTTTTTGTCTGTTATTAGTACCAGTTTACTGTGAGTAAAAAGGTTTCAAAAATATAGACATTTTTCATTATGTTTAAATGTGTTTGATTCGCATATTATAGCAACAGTCAACCATTTCAGTGTTGGCCACTGTAAAATTACTTTTTTTGTATTTTTGTTTCTTTAACACAAGAGTGCTTGTGTGAAGAATTAGAAGATTTTCCATAGTGTACAAGTTATGAGGCTGAATGCAGACTAGTTTTGATTTATTACTTTGTAATATCCCTGATTGATGAAGGCAGTGTTGGAATATTCTTTCTTACTCTTTTTTTTGAGTGATAGAAGTTTTAGTGATCAAAGTTATGCTGCCAAATGTCGATGGGTTGTAAATTAAGTATCTGTTGAAGCTCCATCTTCTCTGACATGTTGATACTTTGCAGAATTGAAACAGCCCTTGAATAATTAGTCTCCAATCCTTTAAATACTTACGTATGTGTTTAACTTGACTCATGTCAAGTATGCCTTTTAAAGTTATATGTGTAAAGTTAAACATGGAGAAAAATATTTGCATGATTAGGTCATTTTAACATCTCCTGATTCACAGGGAAAATACTTTCTTATTGGCTGAAACCTGTTCCACAGATATACAACATAAAAATTAAGATGTGCTTCAATGTAGATCTGTTCACCTAATACTTTTGAAAATGCATTGGTTTGAAATACTGAATAAATCATTCAGAAGTCTGCTACTTTATTGCCAAGATTATTTCATGTAATGATTATTTAAATTTTATGTTGTACTATATAAGCTAAAATTTAACCTATGACTAGCTAATTAGAAAGGGAGTGAAATGGGGGTAATGCAGCTGTAGATGACTAAACTGTTTTTAATGTTAGGCATGTTAGTAGAGCCTATCAGTTTTAGTCAGCATGATTTTAAAATTATTTCCATATGTCTGAATTCAATTTGTTTTTCAAGTTAAATTCTATTCCTTTGTATCAGCTTTCTGTCGAAGTGCTTGATAGTGGGTGGTATCTCATCTTAGCAAACAAATAGTTTTGGGTAGGGGCGAGGGTAATTCCAACAAAATTCTTTCCTCAGACATGTGCATGCAGTTCTCACTGACTTTAGTAAGGTTTGCATACATGTTTCCAAAAGTAGGATTTGGCTAATGTTTTTGGGTTTTTTTTTGTTTTTTTTTTTTTTTTCTTTCAAACAACCCTCACAGCCTTGAGCTCACTGTCAGGGAGTGTTTGCATTTGCTGATCAGCATTTCCACATCTGCTTAGAATTTCCTCTCAGATGCTTTGCCCATCTGAGCACATGACAGTTCTCTCCCCATGGTCCATCCCTCCCGGCAGCCTGAACCTTGGCAAGAAACACTTCCACTCAGAGGTGGGCATTGGCAACCACAAAAGCCCATGCAGTTCTCCTAATTGTCTTTCAGGTGATGGTTTGACATGATTGTGAATGAGTATTGAGAGAGAAGAAAATAAAGCAGTTTTTTTTCTTCCTTGTTTTTTTTTTTTCATTAAAGGTTCCAGACAAGTATTTCACTATTTTACTGGATTATCTGCAAGGGCTTCAAGGTGGTGCACGAGACATAACTGTGCAGAAAGCTGAAGCTTTTATGAAGGAATTTGATGGTTCTGATGCAGAAGATCCAGACCTGTTGGAGAAGTGTGAGCGCATACGACAAGTTCTGCAGCTGCTGTCCTGAGAGTATTTTTGTGTCTTAATGGTTGTCTGGTGGAGAGAAAGATAGGATGTTGTATACAGAGGCTATAAATTAGTTGTAAAGACATATATTCTAATAAGAATCCTAATACTAAATTTCAGATTTTGTACTCATATTTTTTTCCAATTGCAAATATCTATCATGTTATGAGGTGATGAAATAAAAATAACATATTTGGTCCATACACATGCTATTAAAGGTAATTTTACTGCGTATCTTTAGAAGAAGAAACTTTCTTGTTAGCTTTTCTCCACCTTCCCCTGTAATTACTGTTAAATAAGAGGAGCTATGCAGTTCTTAATAAGAAGAGCAAAGGAACCAACAAAAAGCCTCGAGAGTCTTTTACAATGGCAGCTTTTAAAATGAGCATACAGTACAGTGTTTGCTCAGCCAGCTGTAATCTATCACTTTCAGCTTTAGAAGTATGTCATTTGGATTTGGGAAAGATCATTTTCAGTCTGTTGAACACGGAGTGTATAACACAGTCGCTTATTGGTACTTTACACGGTGTTCTCAAGATGCCATCAGCTTTGTTAGTTTTCCTTTTATATTTTAAAGTTTTCAAATGCGTTATGGCAATTGTTAAGATATTCAGATAATGTACAGATGGAAACAGATCAAATCCTTTGACTATGTAGGTAAATCATCTGACTGTGCCTAAACTTACCCTATGATGAGAAGTGCTGTGCTGCAACGTTTTGTATCTAGCCTGCCAATATTACATTTTCATCTTTCTCTTGTAATTGGCACCCAAAAATCTGTTAATTTGTGTTCAGTCACTTTGATGTGGGCCATTTGTCTCCAATGAACATGCTGAAAATGAGGCTTTCAAGTAAAAAGCAAGGACATTAATTACTCAGAAGTTGGATGATTGGCTTGTTTAATAACACTTGTATTCAGACAGCATTCTTGACCTGATTCTTTAATGTTTATGCAAACATTGTTCATACTTTATTAATAACAACTATATGAAATGTGTAGTGTTTGAAAAGAGTGGCTGTCTTTGGGAATTACAGCTTTAATTTGGATGGGTGAAGGAGGGGAGGATCTATGGATACCCAGGCCTAATTTTTCAATAAGAAGCATTTGAGTGGATTTGAGAGCCTTCACAGTCATGGATTACTACAAATCTTTAAAAGTGTGAAATCTATTACTAGTAACAAATAACTTACGATTCTGCCTTCTTGAAGATGACGTCTTCAGCCAAAAAAGGCTAGACACCAGCATGCCCTGCTCTAACACAGTAGCTGTGATGGAGTTTAACACAATGGTGAGCAGCGTTGAGCAGCAGTGGCCAAGCTCCCTGTTGAGCTGCCGATGGTTCCTCAGCAGCTCGGGTGCTGTTCCTGTACCGAGCGGGCGACAGCTGGATGGGGGCTGCAGGGGGTGCATGCAGTATCAAAGCCTTTCTGAGGCCCAAAGCTATATAAAACTGATCTTGCAGTGTAAAAGTTGGTGAAAAGGGTCTGTAATAAAAAGAAGTGATATTGACATTTAGGGAACTCGTAAAAGGTTGTTGGTTCTTATATTTTATGTCTGAGAATATCCAGCTGGGAAAAACTACTGTCACTGCAAGCAGAAGCTGATACTTTTTCCTTTCCATCTGGAAAAATAGGGATTTCTCAGGGATGAGGTTCTCAAAGTGTCTTTTTGCAACTTTATGATTGCATTTGGGGTGTCAGAGAAGAATCTGTGGTCTCTCTATCACACAAAAATATTGGTCCTTGTGCACTTAATATACCTTGCAGCTTAAAAGCACTAGCAGATTACAAATGTATTTTGGAAGAGACTTGTAAAAAAAGATGGTAAAGGTAAGATCCAGGCAAAAAGATGTGAACCTTTTATAATTTCGACAGATTTGGCAAGATTTGCCTTTCTTGGACCTTGGTTCTGACCATGTTCAAATGTTGACAAATCTGTGAGAAGAGAGGCTTTGTAGGTCAAGAATGTCATATTTCTTTTTATGTCAATTAATATTAAAGGCACATAAGGCCAGTTTGGAGTTCATGTGAATGATAACATTTGGAAAAGAACAGTTAGAGCCTTTCACTGGTGCAGTAATAGACCTTTGTGAGTGAGGTCCTGCTCTGCTCATCTCTTCCTCAGCTGCAGTTCCAACTTTCCCTCCAGTGCTACCAATTACTGGGCAAAGGACATGGTCTTTGGCCTCTGCTTCTTGAAGTTATGGAAAATTCAGAAGCCAAAAACTAAGGTAATTGTTGCTATCATTGTGTTTGGTAGAGAAAGCAGAGTATGATGTTTTCTGCCACATGTCTTTTGGTGTATGGTACTGGTCAGTGGTTACTGGTGTCCTGAAATTGGGTGAAAGGCTTGTAAAACTTCTGCTTTGTATTGTTTACTGTATGTATCTTGGGTTTCAAAGCTCAATATGAAATATTTTAAATGTCTTATACTTGATGTTGTAGTGCAAATAGGAAAGGGCTCTTAATTGCATTTTGCTCTTTTACTTAAAGAATCTTCAACTGGTTGGCAAACAATCATCTTGAAAACACCCATGAAACACAAAATCAAACACATTTTTAGGAGACGTGTATTGCTAGGTCCATTTTAAAGACAAGAGGACCCATACAGCTTATCCAACAGTGTGCAAATGCAGTAACATCTCTGGCCATCAAATTCTCTTTTCCATATGCTAGCCACCAGGTCAGCTTCTGCTTCCTGCTCAGCATGGCATTTTAAGCTAGGGATGTACGTTGTTTGATGAATAAATCTAGCAAGATTTCCTCCATCATGTATTTTAAATTATGTATTTTAAATTATTAAGTTATTGAATTCCTGTAGCTGGCAAAGCTGTACAGGAAGATATTATCTGGCACTTCATTCACTTTGTTTTGTCATTTGGTCACACAGAATTTTCAAATCTCATCATCACTTGTACCGTAGGCAATCATATGGATACAGATAGGACAAAATTGTGTCTCTGCCTCCACTTAAATTGGTCTAGTGTGCTAATAAAAATTGCATCCAAGGCTAGAAGTAACAGTGTGTACAGACTGACAAATTACATCTTCATCTGCCTACTCTAATTGTCTTCTAGTTGAGTTAATCTGTATTGTGTAGCTCTGGCTAGAAGAATTTGTATCCTGAGAGAATGCTGAAGTCAGGACTTCTAGGCAAAATACAGGAACATTAATTACTTAGAATTGCTTAAAGCTGGAACTGTGCCTCTAATGGAAGTACTAATTACTCAAAATCTGACAATGTAGAAAGTTCCCTTTAATTTGGCTGATACTTGCTATGGATTCTGTATCTTCTTGGTTCTCTGCTGTCTGCCCACAATTTTAATTTGTTATCACCATTGTAAAAGTACTGGGTAAATGAATTCCCTGTTCTTATTTGGAAAGGTTGTGCCGTAGTTGTGGGATGTGTAGTTTGTTTCCTTATTTCCTCTCATTGGAGAATAGCTCTGCTGTGTTTCTACTGATTTTAAAGCAAGGTGTCTCTTGACTCATCATTTCAGATAGCTTAGAAATTCACTTCTTTGGTTTGAGCTTGGGGATTTTTTTGTTTGTTTTTTAAACTTTTGTCACTGAATAAGGCAAAGTAATGAACATTAAAATCTTTGCACATTTCTGCAAATCAGTGTCAGAAAAAAACAATTATAAAAGAGATTTAAGTTGCAAAGTCAAATGCTCAGAAAATTAGAAAACATAAGAATGGAAATTGCCTGTGTAATTTCAATTTTACTCTTTCACGCATATGTAGTATGATGCAACCTCTAATTATGTCATCGCTGCTGTACTTTACATTGTGTATAACTGATAAGTCATTTTTTCAGTGTTTTCTTTGCAGTTCTGCTGCTATTTTAATTTTCAAAATTTAGGTCTACAAAGTAGTACTAAAGCTAGAGAAATAGCTTTGTTGTGTGGATTTGATCCTGCAGAGAAGAAATAAGTAGGAACTTTCCTATTCATTTGGTGTAGGAACTAGTCATAGATGTTTCATCACAAATGTTCCCTTTAAAACATGTTTTAATGTTCTGATTCATTTACAGTCAAAATACTGAATTGATGTTACTTAATTTAAATCCAGTTTTGTTGACATAAAACTTTCCAGTGGCTTATTCTGGTTTAGCCCTTGGTTTCCTTTTATGTCTTCCTTTCTGTACAGCTGAATGAGCTAGTTATTTCTGTCCCTGCAAATAGGAATATTAGTTGTTTACAGTGATTCCAGTCATACAAGGACACAATTAAATGTCCTTGCCTTTGCAGGACAAGCTCATTTTAGCAGTGATTTATAATTACATTCTGTTTTAAATTCTTCATAGGAACACACATATCAACAACTTAATATGGCCAAAAATATTTATTTTTTTTTAATATTTTTTTTTTCCCTACAAGGACCAGGGAATACCAAACTAAATAAAACTAATGAGTAAATGGTGGGGGAAGGGCAAAGCAAAACAGTGGTTTATCTTTCTTTGTGAAAACAAAGCTGAATAAGAAGCTTGTGCTACTAAGAAAGTTTGACTGGTGTTACAGACACAAACGGAGGGCCCTTTGGTTAAAAACAAGAACAGTCATACAGTTGCTCTTATTGATTTCCCATCCCCCCCCCCCCGCCGTAGAAAATTTTTGGCATTCTCCAACAAAACCCACGAAAACACCTACGTCAAAAAGCTAAATAGGTTTCAAAATCAAATACTTTAAGGTCAAGAAATGCCACATGTATATAAATGGCCCGAAGAATTAAAATTCTACCTCTCTGTGCCTCCAGCGTGGAGACTGAATGAAAGGGGATTGTGTTAGAAGTAAACAAGCAAAAACCCCTAAATTATATTAGCACATAGTTAAAGATTACCAGTTGCCCTTCTATTCATAGGAAGGTGGAATTACATTCCCTATTAGCTTTAGTTATTCAGTTTTTTTAAGGAAGTTTTGCTGCTAATTGAAATACCATTTTGCTGTGACAACTTACATCTATTCTCATGGTCTCACATGTATTTTAGAAAATTGTAAGCCACGGGACATGGGATCTGTCACTCTCATTTGCTTATAAATAGCTAGACCTAGCTACAGCCCTGTGAAAATCACCATTTGCTGTTGAGCTCCTTCGGACCCAAAGAAGGATGTTGACACTGTGTTTCCCTGTACTGGTCTAGAGGTACAACAAAGCTTTGGCAGCATCCTTTGTATCAGCCGGGCTTTCTTAAGCTCCCTGAAATTGCCCGAATCCAGTACAGTGATGCTGCTGATGGAATTTGCCAAGTGAGCAGTGGCGTTTGTCTGTGGAGCACTTTGAGACGTGAGGCTGCAGGAGCTCAGCTGCTTGGGATGCTCAGCCCACAGCTTAATGCCTTCCTCGGCCTCGCTGCTTGTTTTCAGTCTTGGGCTGCTGAGAGCTGCAACCATTTTATTTGTCTACATTCTGGGGGCTTAATTTGACTAAAATGGTTTTAAAGCTATTTTGGCAGATTGAAAGCTTAAGCTTCAGCAGTGATGTTTGTCTGCTAACATAGATACGTGTAAATAGACTTCATGGATTTCACAAACATAGTACCCTTTATTAGATGCAGAAGCTCTCGCAGGATGCTGGAAATGACTGACCAGCACCCTGATTTACCTTGTTAAATAAGACCAGTATTTCCGTGAGCTGTCACAAATACATGCTAGCAGATAGACACGATGGCAGACAGCCGAGGAACCATGTATGGGCATCAAGCATACCAGAGGGCAAGGATGACAGTCAGGAATGTAACCTCCTGAAGTTGCCTGGTTAAGGCAAAATGCCACCTGGCACAAATCCTGACTGCCATAAGGTTAAAAATAACAAATAGTATCCCTATTACATAAGGAAATCTTTCATCCTTGTTTAATGGGGCACTATGATACTCAGGAGAGAATAAATGCAGAACTTCTCTGAACTCTTACTTGTGGTTGGTGCATAGGACCAAAAGAGCTGAAAATACCAGGGTTGATTGTAAGCAGGGCCCCATGTACAAACTGCTGGTGTTAAACAGATGAAATCTGGGTGAAGTTCCAGTGTCTAAGTGTGCTCATCAGCAGCATCAAACCAGTTCACTGCACTGATGACATCTCAGCCCTGGGAAGGACTTCTAGTCCCTTTTTGTGTTGATTGTGTTACTGTAACATAAATACAGAGAATCTGTGTATCCAGAACCCTCTGGATGGCTGCAGTCCATTGGCCATGTTCTGCTCCTTATTGCAATAAAATGGAGCAGCTGATGAAGTTACTGTGGATGAACTTGAAACTTACCCCAGAACTGCAGTCTGTTTCCACCCCACCTTGCCTGCCTGCAGGTCACTTCCAGTCCCATAAAGGAAACACCTGATTTGGTTTCAGTTAAAGATTAATCTGAAATTATCGTAATGTTGAAGTTTTCCTTTGAGTCCTACTACCTTCTTCTTCTCGTGATCATGCTCAATGTGAAATGCTGTCTGTGGTGAATCTGCAGCCTGTGTCCAAGCCAAATTCTCCTGTTGCAGTGGCAGCTTTGAGGACTGTCAAAGGCAACACTTATTTCCAGTTTGACTACACCACTCTGCCTGTAACCATCATCTCTTTGTAGACTACAATGCCTTTCAGGTCAGTACAGCTAATACTTACTAACACTCACCAAAATTTTTTGGAAGCTTCCAGTGTCTCTTTTAAGCAGAAGCATTCATCAACAGATGATCGTCACACTCTCCTTTTAGGTCCTCAGCTCTACCCGCACCATCTCTCTGCACTCAATGATCTGCTTCCACTAAAAAGTGAAAAAGTGCTTTCTGATGCTTGCCATTTCAGCTAGAATAGCAGAAGACATTGGGGATTTAAAGGTCTTGATATATCAGTCATAAAAATGGAATTATCCTTAAAATTCACCCCAGATTCCTTCAAGATGGCTCTGGATTTCCATCTCCCTCAGCTCTTCTCTGGGGAAATGTCCCATCAAGCAAATTCAGACCTTACATCTGGATGTGTAGTGTGCTTTTGTTCTGGGCCTCATCCCAGACTGTGTGTGACTTGTAGAAATCAGGGCAGATGGCAGAGATTAAGCACTTTTAAAACTGCCTTAGATGACTAAAAAGAAACCTTCAAACAAAAGGTCATCAGTGCTCTGATAACACTTGTGAGCATCTGCCTCTTCATTGGGTCGTGAAACGTGTTGATGCTTTCCAGCGATCAGTCCGTGCATTTATCTCCCCTTGCTCCCCAAGTCACGTTTCCAGACAGTATCACTTTCCAGAGGATTGTTCTCTAGGCTGTCCCTTCATATAAATGAACACTTACTGGCCAAATTACTGAGTTGCTAATGAGACCACTCCACCCTGTGTACAGTTGGTTACAGTGGTTTGAAGGATAAACACAGTAAAGGTACAGTCACGGTGAAATGCTGCTCTTGGAAATTATGATCTTCTCGTACAGTTTGTATAGGGCACACACCTCAATCAGAACTCAGTCTATTGTCAGGTATCTTTACTACCAAAAAAACCAAAACCCTTTAGATTATTCTAATTTCCAGTGCTTTTGATATGCTATTTAATCTCAGAGATGGAAATTCTGCAGTGAGCAGACAGTTGCATTATGATTATTGCACCAGCATCCTTCTCACCTTCCTGTACAAGCTCCTGAACACATTATAACTCACTTTAACTGATACACGGAAAAGTTCAGCTAACTGTATTAGCAAAAAGATGAGGAGGAAAACAGGTCATCAAATTTAGGAAATGCAGAAATTAACTTTTATTTCAAAATAGGCCAGTATAGCTATCTGGATTCTGAGCCTGTGATATTTAAATAAAACTCATTCAAAAAGTATCACCTGTGCAGGAACATGGCATGAAATAGCTCTATGCACTTTATTGTATGGTCTTACTTTTCTTCTGAACAGTCAAGACTGCCAACTGCAGAACACAGTATGTGGAAGGAAAACTACAGTGAACTTGACAATTATTTCCAGAGATTGGTTCAGTCCTAGAAAATATTTATTGGCTCTCTAAAAAAACCCAGGGGTTCCCCCTTTGTTTTCTAAATCCTTTTTTTATTATTTCAGCTGTCTTTGGACAAAGGGAGGGAAAAAAAAGTGACCGCAGAAAGATCAAGAGTACATCTTTGACATTGTTTAATGAATTGTTGAATTACCCCGTTAACACAGAGCAGACAGAGTGTCTCAGTTAATTTTTGTTTGGTTTTTTTTTTGGAGGGGGTCCCAGTAGAAGATGAAAGCATGGCAGGTGTGTCTTGGTTTTTGCTGTTCCCTACACAAGTGTTACAGATGGCTGCTACTCTAAGAGAAGAACGAAGGGAATGTGACAAATGCAGTCCTTCTGCAAACAGCACGTCTTGCACGCTTTTCTGCTCTACTGGTGCTGATGTTCCCCTTCCTTGTTAATAGAACGGTGTTTCAGCCAGCAGAATGTATCAATCAGCCTTTATTTGCATCATTGCTGTGGCTGTGGGTCTTGTATACCTCATAAAATTGCCTTAATGGTCTAATTAAACTTTTGACCTGCTATACAGCTGCAAGCCACTGGTGTTTTGAGTTGTCTGCAGGAACACTTCGGAAGATGCTCTGCGGATTCCAGCATTGGTCCTGGCAAAGGGCAACTGAACACAGGTAATGGAGAACACAAACTTCAGACATTTTAGACAGGAAGCAAATTCACTGTAATGTTGAACTGTGTGAATGATGATTGAAAATGGCAACTACAGAATGCATGCCTTGATACCAGGTGCCATATGAGTTGCTGATACTTGTTTTTTTGGTTGGTTTTTGTTTTTGGGGTTTTTTTTTTTGAGAGCTGAAAAGTATTTCCAGTTTAGCCAGTTGCAGGAAGATAATTATTGGTCCCACAAAAGTAATTGCTGCTGAGATTTGAAAATGACAAAATACTGTGTCCTGCTACTGCACCCCCATGGCTTAAAAAGTTCTGTAACATTTCAGAACAATTTTCTAATATTTGGAAATGATAAAATAATTGTCTCAGAGGAAGGAAAATTGTTATCTCAGCTGTCTTATCTAGAAAATCCTGCCTTTACCTAGATCATCTTAACTTCCTTGCAACTCAACTAGATCATTATGATGGGCACCAGCTTGACGTACC